GAGCCCATCCAAGCTGGCTCAGATTTGAGTAAGGACAGGTCGCTGTGAGTGGGAGGAAATCTGTTTTATTGGCTCATTCATTCCACGGCATTTAAAGAGAGCAGCGTTGTGCTAAGTACTGGAGGGTCCAGCATGAAAGGTTTGGTTCTCGCCCTGAAGTTGAGAGTCTGGTAGAGGCGACCATCGACAAAGACCCTGGGTGTAAGTGCTGCGGCTTAAGAGGGGCAGTAAGCCCAGTGGTTAGGGGCCAGATCAGAGCCAGATTGCAGAGGTTCAAATCCCAGCTTCACCACTTACAAGCTCTGTGGCCTCAGGCAAGGTACCGAACCTCTGTGCCTCAGTCTCTTCATCTGTAAAATGGGGATGACGATACCCCAGATTCATAGGGCTGTTGTGAAGATCAAATGTGTTAATACATGTAAAGCTTTTAGCACCACCCCTCGTGTTGTGTGGTGTAAGCGTTAGCTAATGTTGCGATGATGTAATTGTTTCTCCAATGTGCTCCGGTTGTCCTGAGTACACACAGCTCAGCCTGGGCAAATCAAGCAAAACTTCCTGCAGGAGCAAATCCCTGAGAACTAAGGCATAGAAGGGAGGCAAGGACTTTCTAGGCTGGAGGAAAGCTTGTGCCGAGTGAGGGCTGTGAGAGAGCATGGTGTTCGGCGGGACAGGAGTGCTGGGTCGGGGCTTGGAAAGATTGTGTCTTATGGAGAGGAAAGGAAAGGATTCTAGTGGAGAATGCTAGGCTGGAAGGAACAGCAGGAGCGTGTGAGGAGAGAGGAGGTGCGGAGGGGATGGGTCAGCAGCGCTTGCATCTCCCCCTGCCCCTGGGAGCCCATCAAGGAAGTGGATTTGACAGTTTTCCAGGTGAACAGATTAGGTCATAATGAGACAAGGTGTCGGCTGAGCTGCCCCCACCTGGCTCCTCCAGCAGCCAGAGGAATTAGCTCATGGTTGGCGAAGGCTCCTTCAAGGAGCCGCTGTGGCCCAGGGAGCCAGGGAGCGTGTTGGAACAGCAGTCCCTGTGTGTGGCATGGGTCCTCGGCGCTGGCACACAGAGCTGCAGAAAGGCTGACACGCCTCCCAAGGGCTTGTCCCCACTGCTGCTGGGTGGCCTGCCTGGAGGGGCGTGCCTGGGCCTGGTGGGATTACAGGGTCTGATTTCGTTTTTCTAGACACCCTGGGTCCCAGGTCTGGCAGCGTCCTTTGGCTTCCTTTTCTGGCTCCTCCACCCCCAGGAATGACCCAGGTTACGTGTAAAGAAAGCCCGTTCCTCCAGGGGACTGGGCCCCAGGAGTCCTTGGTTTGTCAAGCAGGGAGACCTCCACTGCTTTTCCAGCCCAGGAAGCTGCCCAGTGCTGGCAGCTGTTCCCCGGCACCCAGCCAGCACCTCTCTGACAGCTCAGGCCGGGTCCAGCTCAGTGCCCAGTGAGCAGTGACAAGCTTTTCTGCTGTCACGTCCCTAGGCCTGTATGGGTGACATTCCAGCTCAACTCCTGTGCCTAGTGGGAGGGAAGAAACCCCTTTCGGCTTCTTCAGGCACCAGGACACCCAGGGGGACAGTGCTCCCCAGACACTGACGACCAGGAAAACACATGCTGACTCAGCAGCTCCTCACGGCCTGGCTGTGCGGGGGGCAGTCCCGTTCCTGCCATCTACAGGTGACCATGTGCTCTAAAATGGTGACTCCCTCACTCAGGCCTCTCCACGTTGCACACACGCTATTCAGGTGGGTACAGCTCTCTACAGTTTAAAGAGAGCTTTCACATACAAGGTTCTATAGATCCTCAGCCATTCCACAGATTAGGAAACTGAGGCCACGAGGAGAGGACTGAGCCTGGATGCTCGGCTTGTCAGCAGTGCTGGGACCAGAAACCAGGCTTTTGGGGCCTGGCCTTGGTCTGCCATGCAAAGAGCACCTGGTGGAGTCTCCCCCCCACCCTGAGCTGTGGTCGGGGCATTTACACTGTGAGCAGAGAGGGAAGGGAATGGGCATGGAACGGTTTCAGTAAGTGGAGCTGTTCTCTCCCTTCTGTGGCAGAACAGACTCCACTACGTTTTGAGACCTGAAAATCTGGGGGAGGTGGGATCAACTGACTTCATGTCGTTTGGTGTCCAGGGAAGGATGTGAGGGTGCAGGGATTGGCTCCGGCCACCCAGCAGGTCCGAGAGCGACAGGGCGACTGCTCAGTGCAGTTGGAGGGGCATGATCTGTGATGTGACGGTGACATAACTCTGATTGGTTACGTCGTCTTAATTTTAAACAGCGTGACTAGGGCTACATGACTGTGTCTAGGGCTTCCTGTAGACCAGGCAGTGTGCTGAGAGCTCCCATTTGTAACCTTATTAAATCCCCTGAATGACCTCCGAGGTAGATGTTAGTATCGCCAGAACTGGCCTCAAGGTCGTGGGCAGCGGTACAGGGCCCCTCGCGTGGGTTCACGCTCTGCTGTCACTGTCTTGAAATTCTTAGAACTTTTTAAACAAGGAGCTCCGCATCTTCATTTCACACGGAGCCTTGCAAATTATGTAGTCATTCCGGTTGTTCTCATTTCTCAGAAGAGGACACAGAGGCCCAGAGTGGTCACGAAGCAATGTGCCAACGTCACAAAGCCAATGGCTGCCCTGGAGTTCTAACCCCAGAGCCCACACACTCTGGAGTAGAAAGAGGCTGAGACAGAGTCAAATGACCGTGCCCAGGTCCAGCTGCTGGCACCTGCCTGTGACCAGGGGGTGAGGCGCTTCAGCTGCCCTAGCCTCGATTTCTCCTTGGTGAAATGGGGTGATCTCACCTGCCTCTGGGGGCTACTTTGGGGCTCACATGGGCTGATGTGCACACCAGGTTTTCTGCGCTTCACTAAGCTCAGCAGATCTGAGGACTAGCTGGTCACAGTTCACAGGGGCTGCCACCCCTGCCACCAGATAGTCCTGACATGGTCTCTGCAGGCCTTCACCTGAGGTCAGGATTTCCAGACCAGCCTGGCCAACATGGTGAAACCTCGTCTGTACTAAAAATACAAAAAGTTAGCTGGGCATGGTGGCGGCTGCCTGTAACCCCAGCTACTTGGGAGGCTGAGGCAGGAGAATCGCTTGAACCCAAGAGGCGGAGGTTGCAGTGAGCCAAGATCATGCCATTGCACTCCAACCTGGGTGACAAGAGTGAAAACTCCGTCTCAAAAACAAAACAAAACAAAACAAAAACAAAAACAAACGAAAAAGACCGAAACCAATGATTGAAGTAAATTCCCTGCAATGCAGTTACAGACTTGTAGCCGTTTCCTACCCAAGAGGAGCCCCTCACCCAGCAGCGGTCGCAGCAGTGGGACGCCCTGGGGGGGGAGGGGTGGGCCACCATGGCTCCTCATCCATGTTATCTGCTCACAGAACTCAGGGCGGGAGGGTGCCGCTCATCCGCCTGCAGTTGAATCCTCTCCAGGAAGCTTTGATGGATCTAATCAGAGCCCCCCTGCCAAGGAGAAGGAAGCCCTGTAGGTGCAGCTGCCCCAGACACGCTCAAAACAGATCCTGGCACCTCAGCAAAGAGGCAGACGGCGCCTGGGAGGGGCCTCAGAAAGCAGCTGATAAGTCTTTAGATTTGGACAGATTCTGACCGTGAAACTGCACAGAAGACTCCCATGAGTACATTTCGCGTTTGCAGACTTAGCGTGCTAAGTCTTCAGAGAGTGCCTGTGAATTTTAGTTCTGCCAATCTGCTAGAGCATAGGAGGTTGGTATTTATCACCCCCATTTTACAGATGAAGAAAATGAGGCTTAGCAAGCCTGACAAGACCTAGAGCTAGGCCATCCGATCCCAAGTCTAGTGTCCGCATCTGGAGACAGTGGTTCTCCACCTGGCTGCACACTCAGACCACCCGGGGAGCAGAACACTGCTGTCTGAGTCCCGTCTCAGACCAACTGAACCAGAATCCAGCTCCTCAGGGGGATTCTCACTTGCTCCAAGCAGACCTGGAGGTGAGAGCGGGTTTCTCTGCTTACCAGTTGGGGTGGACTATTCCTTCTCATTCTCCATGGGTACCCCTCGCCAGGGCAGGCTCATAGCATAGGGTGGCAGAGGTTGGGCAGCAGGACGTCCTCCAGTCACATCCCCACTGCAGGCTGGGGCTAAGGAAAAGGTCTGGACTAGAAAGTTCTGCTCTTCCTTCTTGAGTATCTGCATGCCATGTCGGAGAGGAATCCCAGGGCACCCCGAGGTGGTCTTGCTCACTGTTCAGCTTTTGCCACCCTCATCTAAATTCTTTTCCCTTCTATCCTCACCTCCCTTCTGCCTAGTTCCCCTCACTCCAAACAAGTAATTATGGCGATGGCTACTCCATTCTTTTTGTTTTGGCCGGGATGTTTTTAGTCATTTACAAGTCAGTAACAATCCCTCTTTCTTTCTCCTTTTTCACCCCAAGGGTGGCCTACTCTCCAGGCTGCTGAGAATCTTACTTTTCTTCATTGAAGCTTTATCTTGAACATCCTTCCATATCAATTCATTCTTTTTTATAGCTGCATGTCCCCCAGCACAGATTTTTTTTTTTTTTTTAAACACATCCTGAAAGTCCAGGGCTTACCGCTTGGGTCCAAATCAAATTATCTCCTACTCTGATTCACCCATCTCTGCAGCCTGCCCCATGGACCTCGGGCCACAGAGTCTGGAGGCTGTGGTCTCTTCTTACTGGGAGTTAGGTTTCCACCCTATGTCCGATGTTAACGTAGGAGCCTTGGCTTATGCCTCCTCTCTGGAGATGAGGAGGCCAAACCAGATCCCGTAGCTGAAGTCCTTACCAAACAGGTGCTGCCATGCGGGCACTTAGGTGAGCACAAGAAGCCTCGTTCTAGAACAGTGAGTCCCAGCCTGCTGGCTTAGCCATCCAGCCCAGATGCCACCGCCTTCTTCCCTGCACAGCTGCAGGTTTATTTGCTTCTGTCTCTGAAGAGGTGAGGTAAGGGGTTGTTCTTGGAGGAAGAAGCTAGGAGTGTGGAGGAAGGAAGACCTGGATGTAGAAACTGCTGCTGGAGGACAGGGCTGTGGTGGGTGGAGGTGGTGAGGGGGCAGTGGCCCCTGGACGGAGCAGACACACCTGAGCCTGCATGGGGTGTGGTTGCCCTGCTGGCTGGCACTGAGGACCCTCCGGCAGTTGCCACACAGAAGAGAGACCTGTGCCCTCAGATTCAGACAGCCTGAGCTTGTCCCCCCAGTTTCTTGCTGGGAGATCTCTGTGAGTCATTTAACTTCGAGGAGATGTGGGTTCCTCGTGTGTGAAATGGGAATAAAAACAAATCCCTGTAGACTTGTTGGGGGCATTAAATGAGATAGTAGAGGCGGAGTCGTTTTTATAAATGGTAAAAACACTGTACAGTTTATCAGTTGGTCATTAACTTCTCTGCATTGAATTAAGGCATTGAAATGACCTCACTTCCGTTTCAGACTAGCCATGAGAAGTGCAGTCACTAGTTCACTCTGAGCCTCAGTTTCCCCTCCTGTGGAGTGGACGTGCCTGCCTCTGAGTGGCAGGGCAGGGATCGGGACTGATGTGGTTCTCATCCCTCCCACAGGGTCTCCAGCCACCTGCCCTTCCCGAGAGGAGAGAGCTCTGGGCCTTCTTCCTGCCAGTCTGGTCTTCGAGTGCCTTCAGGACAGATAGACCTTGGCACAGGCTGTCCCGAGATTCCTGCGATGCCTGTCTGTTCCTGCCTTCTGTGGAGCATGGCACCCACAGGATTCCAGGACGGATCGTAGACCCGAGCCTCCAGGAGGGTGCCCTGTGCTGCTCACTGCACAGTCCCTCTCAGTCCCCTGCCACCCAGCCTCCAAGGCCGGCTCCCATCCCGGAAATGCCCTCGGGCACCTGGATGAGGCCATCCCAGAGCGGGACCCAACTGTGCCACCCACCAACCCTCCCCCTGTGCCCCCCGCCCGCTCGCATGTCCTGCTGCCAGGGCAGACTGTAGAATGTCTGTGCCCCAGATCCACGTGGAAGAAGTGGGTGCAGAAGAGGGGGCAGGAGCAGCCGCACCACCCGATGACCACCTCCGGAGCCTGAAGGCCCTCGCCGAGAAACTGAGGCTGGAGACCCGCAGGCCCTCCTACCTGGAATGGCAGGCCAGGCTGGAGGAGCAGACCTGGCCCTTCCCGAGGCCGGCTGCGGAGCCACAGGCGAGCTTGGAGGAGGGCGAGCATGGGGGGCAGGAGCCCTTGCTCCCGCTGAGAGAACCCGGGCAGCACGCCCCTCCTGCCAGGAGTGCCAGCCGGGGCACCACACCCCTGTCCACTGGCAAGCTGGAAGGCTTTCAGAGCATCGATGAAGCTATAGCCTGGCTCAGGAAGGAACTGGTGAGTGGCTGCCCCCGAGAATCCCCAGAAAAGAGAAGATGCCACTGTCTCTCTGTCTCCGTGTCTCTCTCTGTCCGTCTGTCTATGTCTGTCTCCCCACCCCCACCATGTATTTATTCTCCTCTCTCTACCCACCAAGTGCACATCTGTAATGTTCCCATGAGTTGAGCGCCGGCCTCATTTGTATGTGGTTGGGGGGACCCAGGTGTCATCAGCCCCTAATTGCAGACACTAATGGAGGAAGCGGGTGTTTTCTGGGAGAACTTGAACCCATGTTAAGGTGTCCCCCTCTCCCCCCAACACTGCTCCCAGTACTGGAGTCTCAAACACTTCTCCCTGGACTGTGAAGGGGGCTCCTGGGGTGTGACTGCCCCTCCCTCTGCGCTGGAACCTCCCCACCCTGCTGTCCACCCCAGCTGCCTGCCGCTCCGGGGACCACGCATTCTGCAGGTGGGCGGCGGCCTCTCCCTGTGCTGGGCGCTGGCTGGGTGGCTCCATGAGGCACAGTGGCTGGGGTGTGGCTGTGCGGGGCACTCCTGTAAGGAGCTGGCTCGGCGTGGAATGTGCTCCAGTGGTAAGGAGAGCCTGCGGGATGGGTCCTGCCTGGGGAGAAGCTTGGTGAGGAGGCTCAGAGGAGGAGTTGGCTCAGAAGTCAGGGCGGGCCCCGGTGCGAGTGAAAGGCACATTGTGTTTGAGCTGGGACCGCAGCAGTCACTTTCCTGCCCATAGGCAAAGCAGATTCCCAATAGGAGCATCTTTTGTGCATGGTGACTCAGCCTGAGAACAGGGTGGGGGTGCAGAGCTGGG